CCAATCAAATGCAGGCCCTACCCTACAGTACAATGGGCAACTCCAACAACTACCTGCACCTCTCCATACCTGCTACAGAGCTCAAGCCAGGGGACAAGCTCCATGTCAACTTTGTCCTGCAAATGGACCCCGGCCAGGATGCCAATATCCGATACTTCACCTACCTGGTGCGTGGCTTCCTACAACCCCCAGCTCTCCCCCCTCCTCACTTCTCCAGCCCTCACAGCCCTACCCCCTTCCAGATCCTCCCATCCTCCCTCCTGCCTTCCGGATCCTTATGCCAACCTGTCTCCCAAGGTCATGAACAAGGGGAAGCTGTTGAAGGTGGGACGCCAGGTGCGAGAGCCCGGCCAGGTCCTGGTGGTGCTGCCTCTGACCATCACGACAGAGTTTATTCCTTCCTTCCGCCTGGTGGCCTATTACACGCTGAACAAAGGAGGCCGGAGGGAGGTGGTGGCTGATTCCGTGTGGGTGGATGTCAAGGATTCGTGTGTGGGCACGGTAAGCGTTGCTGAGTCTCTGTGCCCATTTGTGACTCTCAGCCTGGCCATGGCTTTCTCTGTCTCTGCCTCTCTCTGTCCTTCTGAACCAATTTCTCTCCCCTGCTTGTAGAGTTCCTGCCTCTCTCTTCTCCTTTTCCATCTTGTTTTCTTCCCTGTTTTAGTCTCAGTATCTCTTTTGCTCCCAATTTTCTCTTTTCTTGACTTTCTACCTGATGCTGGTTTTGTGCGTCTCCCTTCTTCTCTCTCTGTCTCCACCTTTCTCTCCTTTCAGACCAGACCAGGTCCCCTTCTGTCTTATAAGGACGAAGGCTGGGGCCCTGCTGAGCTGACTTCTCCTGCCTACCCCTCCCTCCTCCTCACAGCTGGTGGTGAAAAGTGCCATGAAGGAGGAAAAGCATCAGCATCTACCTGGACAACAGATATCGCTCAAGATTGAGGGTAACCAGGGGGCTCGAGTGGGGCTGGTGGCCGTGGACAAGGGCGTGTTTGTGCTGAATAAGAACAGGTTGACTCAGAAAAAGGTATGTCCCCATGTCACTGAGTTTGGGTAAAACATGGCAGAGGCAAAGAAATGGCATTGGATTGAGGTGGGAATGGCGCTGGGGACAACCAGTGATGTGAGGTTGAGTGTGGGTTGAGTGCAGAGGTCAAAATGGACACAAACATGGGGATTGGTTGAAGTTCAAGTTGCGGATGGAAATGTGGATGGACAGGGTCAATGTTGAGGATGGTCATGGAAATGGGCACGGCTCTAAATCCCAAAGAAGCACACTCCGATCATCCACTGTGCAGTGTCTGGGCCCGGGATGAGGATGGAAGTGAGGTTGGGTGGATGTGTTGATGCGGTGACCTAGGCCCTGCTGGCCTGGCCTCAGCCTGCCCTTGACCCCCTCCGCACCCTGCAGATCTGGGACACAGTGGAGAAGGCAGACATTGGCTGCACACCGGGCAGTGGAAAGAACTATGCAGGAGTCTTTACGGATGCCGGGCTGGTCTTCCAGACCAGCAAAGGCCTGCAGACCGAGCAGCGGTCAGGTGAGGAGTCAGCCAGTGGACACCCAGGGAGCGGCAGCACTTCTACCTTCCAGATTGGATGTGGGACCCTGGTTTCAAGTCCTGCCTCTACCACCAACAAGCAAATCGCTCTCCTCTCTGAGCTTTAGTGTCTACATCTGTTAAATAAGAGCAATAACACTCCCACCTCGCAGCTACTGTGAGGAGTAAACCAAGGACAGGCAGTCAGTGCTTAACCCATCTTGTTCCGTCCACCTGCCCCTCAGATTTGGCATGCCCGAAACCAGCCACCCGGCGCCGCCGCTCAGTGCAGCTCATGGAGAAGAGGAAGGGCAAAGGTGGGAGCCCTCATCTGCCTTCCCCACCCTTGCACCCTGTCCACTGAGATCCCAGCAAAGTGGGAGGAGAGGATGGCCTGGACCTGGGCAGGTCCTCCCTGAGAGGCCCTGTGGGGACTTGACTTGGGGGTGTTCCCGCAGCGGGTGAGTACCCCAGCAAGGAGCTGCGCAAGTGCTGTGAGGACGGTATGCGGGAGAACCCCATGCAGTACTCGTGCCAGCGCAGGGCGCAGTTCATCCTCCAGGACAAGGCCTGCGTGGACGCCTTCCTGGACTGCTGCAACTACATCACCCAGCAGCGGCTGGAGCACAGCCGGGACAGCGACCTGAGCCTGGCCAGGAGTGAGTCCTGCGGTCTGGGGGGCCCTGCCTGAGGGCTGGTGGTGGTGGGAGGGGGAGGCGCCCATCACTGGGGACTGGAAATTGTGTGGATCTAATTCCAAGAGCAAAGGCAAGTGTGAGCGGCTTGTGAAATTGAGGGAAATTACGTTATCAATTACAGGATGAAAAGCAACAAGAAAGAATACTTTTGCTTAAAACGTAAAGAAGATTGGGAAACTTGTCCAGTGGCTGGCCGACAAATGCAAAAATAATGATCTTTTTTTCTTTAAACAGCCTTTAACTTACAAACTTGTGGGGTTTAACACCTTTCCCCGCTTGAGCTGTTTGATCAATGCTCAGCATCAGGGCATTAACATGATTCCTTTCCACCATGTAATTCACAGACTCCACTCAAATGTTGCCACTTTTTAAATTATTTTATTTCTCTCTAGGAAAAGGACCCAGTTCAGAATCACACATTGCATTGGTGTGTCTGGTTGTGTCTCTTCAGCCTCCTCCTATCTTCCCAACCCCCAGGCTCTTTCTGTGACTCTTACACTCTTCACATACATGAGATATACAGGCCAAATCTTCACATACATGAGATATACAGGCCAGATCATTTGAAAGTTGTTAAGCTCCCTGAGTCTGCCTGGTGTTACTCCTGCTCACAATCAGACTTTGCATTTTGGGCAGGGCTGTCCCAGAGGAGATATTTTGTCTTTCTTGGGGCCTCAGATCAGGAGGCAGGTAGCTTTGACTTGAACCGTCACTGGTGATGTGAACCTTGATTACTTGATTAAGGTGGTGTCTGCCGTGTTTCTCCATGTAAAGTTCCTCTTTATTCCTTTTATGTATTTTTTATTATTATTTCAAGAGGCCCGGTACATGAATTGGTGCACCAGTGGCGTCCTTCAGCCTGGCCTGTGGGATCAGGCTGAAGCCGGCTCTCTGACACCCCCGAGGGGTCCCAGATTGTGAGAAGGCACAGGCCAGGCCGAGGGACCCCACCGGTGCATGATCAGGGCTGGAGAGGGATGCGGAATATTGGCCAGTGAGGGATATCCGCAGGAGGGCTCCAGGGCATGTCCGGCCTGTCTCACTCAGTCTGGATCGGCTTGACTCCAGCAGCAATCTAACCTACCATTCAGAGTGTGTGCCCCCTGGTTGTCAGTGCATGTCATAGCGAGCAGTTGAGTTGACCTAGCATATCATTAGCATATTAATTTTGATTGCTTGAATAGACGACCAGACACTTACCATATTAGGCTTTTATTATATAGGATTGATGTCAGAGAGGAAGGGAGAGGGAGAGAGAGATAGAAATGTCAATGATGAGAGAGAATCATTGATCGGCTGCTTCCTGCACACCCCCCACTGGGGATCGAGCCCAAATTGCATGTGCCCTTGACCAGAATCAAACCCAGGATCCTTGAGTCTGCAGGCTGATTCTCTATTCACTGAGCCTAACCACCTAGGGCTGAGTTTTGTTTTTGTTTTTTAACATCTTTTAAAATTTAAGTCAAGAGAGATGTTTCCAAAGATCAATATTACTTAGCCTTTAAGATAAAAGATATGGATGGACGCCTTATGTGGTAACATGTGACTTTTGTGAACGTGTTTACTCTGGAGGGTGGGGCTTAGGAAGCTGTTGCCACAGTGGGGAAATATTTCTACATTTTTTTAGCTGGAAAGCTCGCATCCCCTTTACCCCTCCTCCCACAAAAGACACAAAGATTCCCAACACACACGAGCAAAAGACTTTCTATCTTCAATCTCTTTGCAAATGATGAAAACTAGGCAGGCTGCTTTCTACTCCTGACAGAGACTTTCTTCTGCAAAGAGAAGATAAGGCTACTGAGGGAGTTAGACAAACTGCTGGGTTGTAGTTTACACCACGGGGAGATTTATTTTCCCAGTTTTGTGTATGTTTTTTAGTCAAGTGGGAGTGAGACAGAGGATGGCTTAAGCCAGTGATGGTGAACCTTTTGAGCTCGGCGTGTCAGCATTTTGAAAAACCCTAACTTAACTCTGGCGCTGTGTCACAATATAGAAATTTTTTGATATTTGCAACCATAGTAAAACAAAGACTT